GGGTGTATGGTCTGTGTGATCTGAGAGAAGAAGGCGTAATCTCTGACGAGGTCGTAAGCATTTACTGTTACACAGTCGAGGACTCGAACGAAACAGCTATCCAGTACTCCTTGGTTTAAAATGGTTATCTTAATGTTGTTAGAGTGTTCGAGGTGATGTACCTTTGAAATCAACCAATCCTTCAGGAAATTTTAACTCGTAAGTCATTCGGGCACTGGGACCCAACTGAATGGTCAGTCCATGAATTCCAACTTTTACCATTTCGTGATCCTAGGGCGAATGCCACCAGCAGGTGTCAACGGCTGGGATTTGTCCTCACTCACTCACTCACAAGCAATGACTTCTCACCAGAATCCACTCCAGGCAACTTCAGTCAGTCACTAGGTTTGATCACGGACTGATACAAATCACAGAACCATTGAAAACCAGTGAGGAGTACAGAACAGCTGTTTTGTCCTCGTTTGAAACCCGTCGTCAGTAAGAGCTGACCGTGACCACTGGGATCCATGTGGTCGGAAACGAGGACAGGTCCCTGCGACGCATGAAACTGGCTAGTGACAGTGGCACTAAAATCACGAAGTGACAGAAGTTAGAATTCATGGGCTGGTCATCGGATCGAGTCCCAGTAGCCTAATGATCTACGAGCTCGCCAGCCGTGTAACCGAAAGGTTTTGGCTTCAAACTCTGGCTGTGGGTGAGTGGACGCCCAATTAGTTGGCCGATGTATTGTCTGTTACAGTTCATGCATGCAATTCATTTTGTAAATGGTATTAATTTAATCTCCTTTTTCTGTTGAATGGGTTTTTTTGGTTTGCGCAATATCCATGAATGAAGTGATTGTGCTGGCTGATTGGCTGGTTGCCTTGTGTGCTATATCTATTTCAAACGGTTTTAATATTCTAGCTGTTACTTCAGGGATATTTTTTTAATATATGGTAGGATGAATTTTCTTGTAGTCTTTGATGACGGTTTTTTGTTGTTAGTATTGGTGACTCGAGTATATAGACACTTTCTGATGAAATTGCGTGGATATCCACTCTTTTTGAAGACTGTCGGTTGGTAGGTATTTTTCCTCCATTCTCTTCAACACTGGAGCAATGCTACAGTGTGTGTTTGAACTCTTTTAAACAATATCCAAACAGATAAGAAATCTAGAGAATAGTTCAACTATAGCACTACATGCAGTTACACACAACCATACAATAGGATGGGATAGGATGACAGTTTTAAAATCTAATGTCACAGGGTATAGGGAGAGATTGATAACAGAAGCTTTGTTTATCGAATCAACTGCAAATCAACACGTGCAATAGGAATGATTCAATACCTGTCCCAGATATATGGAAAATTCTACTGCCCATACAACAAATAGGAGAAGACAGAGAAAACTATAAAAATCAAATCTCGAAGTCGTGTGACAAAAATTGATATGATTATGAACAATAAATTGTGTTCGAAACGTCATCCAGTATACAATACTGTTTCACTGTGTGATACATTTAATAATCAAACTAATATGGAATGTCCAAACACATTTGCAAAAGATTATGTTTGCAAAATCTCAGAGAAATTGAAATGAGCAATTTCAACGCTTCCTGCGTTCAGCAATCTGATCCGAACTTATTCAGGGAAATTAATCGAATTTAACATAACAGAGGTTTATACATAAAAAGGGGGACATCTCTTGTTTTTAAAAAAACTTTGTCCAATCATATGAGTCATGAAACAGGTATCAACATGTATAATAAACAAAAAATTGTATGAGCTGTGATCAAAATTTGACCTCGAACTTACAAATATTGGTTTACCTTTGTTAAACACTTTAAACAGAGTGTGTTTATGTGTGCATGTGTGGGTAAACAGTTGTAAAACATTTGTTAACGTCTCCATAAGTAGATATAGCTCTGATCGGGAATTATGACAAAGTATTATAAGTTAGTGATACATATCGATTTTTATTTATTAATCAGGATTTACTATGTATCAGCTAACATCACACTTTCATGTCTGTTCAAAACTGTTAGTATTTAGAATTTTATGATTAGACGTATATTTTCAAAATTATGGTGTTTAGGATTAGAGTTTAGTTGAAGAGCACCCTGTCGAACGTATTGCTTTGTCTTCTTTTTGAAGATTTACCTGTTTATTCAATCTATTGGAGTTGTCAATTGACTCGACAGCTACAGATTTAGGATATACATTCTGTTGCATTCGCTGAGACTTTATTAGTATAATTCTTTACAAATGTCTACTTCTCACTTAATAAATGTTTAAAACTTTGACACTATGGTAGTAAGTAATAGCATATTAGTATGTTTATTAGATGTATCTGATATGTACCGAAATGATGTGTGTTTTGTTTTTGACAGTCTGTTATATTTTGCTATGTGTATATGGATCGATATTCCATTATAACTGACAATATGCTTTTGTCTGTCCACTGACTAAATAAACATATATGACTTTGTTATCACATGACATTACAACCAATCATGTTAAGACTGGCTAATTATTACTTCATGTGTATTAACCATTTTCATATATACTCTTATCTTATTATTCTTGTTTCCCACGTTTCGTACATCTAAGTACCCTTCCACTCACACACTTGTGTGACATTTATTTTCCTTGTCTGGAAAATACAAGTATCATCGTAAACCTGGTGGTCTTCTGATTTCCCTCTATCCGCGTCAGGACTATTAACTACTCGACGAGTACATTACATAATTGGCGACGGGGAAAACTCTAATAACTCACTCAGCAGCAGTATATAACATTACCACATAGTGAGTGAAATAGTATTATTTACTGGATGACTATTGCTGCTCATTATCATATCAATTACAACCACACCTCTTCGAAACTTTATAGTTTTCATTGTCCTCGTTCGGGGTAGTAGACTTTTCCGGATATCTGCGTGTACAAGTGTTGAGTCATTCCTATAACACGTGTTGGTTTGCAGTTGATTCGATAAACAAAGCTTCTGTTATCAATTTAGCCATGGTATTAAATCCCCTTAAAATCCACTCGGAATCTAGACTAGCAAATTCTTATGAACTAAAACACAGATTAGATAATTTAAATCTAGATAATTAAGAGAAAATGATTAGTTTTTACATTGTCAGTTTATATACACGTATACCAATAAATATGGCTATAGAGGCAGTCAGAAACGAACTCATTTCTGACCAAGAACTTGAACTTTGGACGAAATTGCCACTTGAGTATATAATGCTAGGAATACATCTATGCCTGACATCCACAGTATTTAAATTCCAGGGGAAAATATACAAAAAAACTGAGGGGGAGTTCCCATGGGATCACCAATATCCCCGATTGTGGCAGATATATTCATGGATAGGTGGGAAAACATAGCGATTGAAACATTCACCCCCACCTCGCGTGGAAGTATGGTTTAGGTATGTAGACGACACATTCACTGTACTTAGAACACAGGATATCGATAGATTTTTCGAAGACATTAACTCAATGGTGGAGGCAATTCAATTCACTTTTGAATTGGAAAGTCATGAAAGAGATTACAGTGTAAAAAGAAAAGATGGGAAGTTAAACACACCAGTGTGTTTACAGGAAACCCACCTGCACATCCAAACAGATACTTGGACTTCCGATCATCCCACCCAATCTATGCTAGTAAAAATAGGATTGGTGAAATGTTTACGTAACAGAGCATAACAACTAAGTAGTACCAAGGAAAATCTAAGACAGGAAGTGATGCATATAAGAGAAGCTTTGAAACTAAATAATTACCCGGATAAATTAGTCAGAAAGTATGTAGGGAAATGTAACAATAAAATAAATAATGATAGTAGTGATAGTGATGATAATAATAATAATATTAATGACGACATGTATATCAAATACACACAAGATAACACCAACAATAAGGAATCTAAATCATCAGTAGTACTTCCATACAAGGAAGGAAGCTCGGAAACCTTAAACAGAATTCTTAGCACAGCAGGAATAAAAGTGACTCGCGTTCAAACCAACCACAAACTGAATTAGAAACAAGCTTTTTCGGTTAAAGGATCCTGTCAGTGGAGCCAATAAAACAAAACAATTTAGTTTATCTAATACCCTGCCTGAAATGATTGTGAGGTCAAATACATAGGTCAATCTAGTAGAACAGGTGTAGCCTGTCAGACTAGCTGAACCTAAAAACCTTGCTGCAAAATATAGATTATTTGACCCAAATAAGATAAGAAATCTAGAGAGTAGTTCAGCTATACCACTCACTCCAAGCAATTACACACAACCATACAATAGGACGGGATGGGATAGGATGACAGTTTTAACATTTAATGTAACAACAGGGTGCAAGGAGAGATTGATAACAGAAGGTTTGTTTATCGAATCAACTGCAAACCAACACGTGTGACAGGAATGATTCAACACCTGTCCCAGATACCTGGAATATTTCACTACCCCTACGACGACAAATAGGAGAGAACAAAGAAAACTATAAAACTCAAGTTTCGAAGTCGTGTGATTATAAGTGACTGATATGATTATGAACAGTAATAAATTTTGTTCGAAACTTGTCATCCAGTGAATAGTACTGTTTCACTCACTGTATGAATATCTAATAAACATAATACTACGAAATTGTCTACTTCGCACTCGGCGCCCAAATATTTTAGAACTATTCTATCAAATATTGACGACAGTTCATTTAAATGTCCAAACACAGTTTCTTTTGTGAGCAATTGCGTTATTGCTAGTATAGTTGAATATTTGATCTGTATGTGTGCATTGATTTTCTATATACTTGTGTTTCTAAATTTCTTGTTTTGGTTCTCCTGATTAAGATATTTAAAATGGGATTTTGTCATTGTAATTCTCCTTCTATTTTTCAAATCACATTTCTTTTCATTATTACAAGTGTATCATCCCCGTACCGTGTACCGTACCCAGACGTTTGATTTAATTATAAGCATTATCAATCATCATATAAAGAAACAAAGACGTCTACTCACTCTTATTAAATTAAGCATAATTAATGTTACATCATAATACAAGGAGGAATCGTTTGATTCATCTTTTGTTGCTAATTGTACCCATAAAACTAAACCAATCATTGTATTGATAAAATTTCCAATCCATTCATCAATGAAATGATATGGACGAAATATCCAATAGGTTGATAGGAATATACAACTGATTATATGGAATGATAACACTGGTATAGCAGTTGTATATTTTAGATTTTTTGGTAAACAGCTGAAATACAAATATATAGATTTTTATTTAAATTTATGCACTACTTATAACAACAACAGTAATAAATTATTTAAATACCAAAAAATGGCAATTCCATATTAGTTTGTTTATTGGATGTGTCACACAGTGAGTGAAACAGTACTATTCACTGGATGACAAGTTTCGAACAAAATTTATTACTGTTCATAATCATATCAGTCACTTATAATCACACGACTTCGAAACTTGAGTTTTATAGTTTTCTTTGTTCTCTCCTATTTGTCGTCGTAGGGGTAGTGAAATATTCCAGGTATCTGGGACAGGTGTTGAATCATTCCTGTCACACGTGTTGGTTTGCAGTTGATTCGATAAACAAACCTTCTGTTATCAATCTCTCCTTGCACCCTGTTGTTACATTAAATGTTAAAACTGTCATCCTATCCCATCCCGTCCTATTGTATGGTTGTGTGTAATTGCATGGAGTGAGTGCTATAGCTGAACTACTCTCTAGATTTCTTATCTTATTTGGGTCAAATAATCTATATTTTGCAGCAAGGTTTTTAGGTTCAGCTAGTCTGACAGGCTACACCTGTTCTACTAGATTGACCTATGTATTTGAAACTTAATAATTACCCGGAGAAATTAGTCAGGAAATATGTAAGGAAATGTAAAAATAAAATAAATAATGATATCAGGGGTAGTGATAATTATAATAACACTAATAATGTTAATAATAATAATATTAATAATAATGGCGCCACCAACAGTAAGGAATCTAAATCATCAGTAGTACTTCCATACAAGGAAGGAACCTCGGAAACCACCTTAAGAAGAATTCTTAACAATTTGGGCAGGAATAAAAGTGGCTGGCATTCAAACCACCCCACAAACTTAACTATAAACAAGCTTTGTCGGTTACAGGATCAATCTAGTGGAGCCTTTCAAACAAAACAATTTAGTTTATCTAATATCTTGCTGGAATGACTGTCAGGCCAAATACGCAGGTCAAACTAGTAGAACAGGGTCAGTGGATCAGATTAGACGGGCATAAAATCCTAGCAACAAAATCTAGATTGGTTGACCCAAATAAGATAAGAAATCTAGAGAGTAGTTCAGCTATAGCGCTCACCACAAGCAGTGACACACAACCATGCAATAAGATGGGATAAGATGACGGTTTTAAAATCTAATGTAACAGCATGGTGAAGGGAGAGATTGATAACAGAAGCTTTGTTTATCAATTCAACTGGAAATAGTTGTAAAGGAAATGATTCAACACCTGGCATGCCACATATCTGGAAAATTCTGCTACTCCTTCGGCGACGAATTGATATGATTATGAACAGTTTCTTTACAACCGCTTAACAAGTAACATGGTTAACATTAATAACAATAAAGTTCATGACAATTACTCAGTTTAATAAAAAACACAAAAAAGTACATACTAATGACCAGTCATATTTAGATAGGGCCCCTGTTAGCAGATATTTTCATGTCGAAATTAGAGAAACAAATGCAAGGTATGCTTGGAGAATTTATGCTGTATAAACGTTATGTAGATGATACACGCATTATTGGTAATAATAGTAAATCTGTTCAAAACTTTATTACCCTATTTAATCATATTCATCCAAATATCAGAGTGACTTCCGAACTAGAATCGAATAACAAACTTGGTTTCCTGGATATTACTATGATTAGGAGAGATGATGGAATGATTCAACGATCTATTTTTCGTAAACCGATATGGAGTGAACAATATCTTCATTTTATCAGTTTTGTTCCTATCCAGTATAAATCTTCCCTAGTGAAATGTTTGTTCTCAAGGGCCCGAAAAATATGCACGAGTGACACATTGTTGGATGAGCTTTGACATACATTCAATCTTATTAGCTAATGGTTATCCGGAGAACCTTATCAATTGTCACAGTAAAGAAAGACCACATCTCGAAAAGACAGCTTCTGTACCAAAGAAAGCTATCTTTATTAACCTACCTACCATTGAAGGGCGACCAGATTATGCAGTTGACAGCTAGCTCAAAGACACTTCGGTCAGACATCAAACGATCATTCTACGCTGCATCTCTTTCCCTCACATGCTGAACATTTTCGATCCCTATACCTGCATGATTAAAAGACGAAATTCTGTGGACTCTACTTGAAACTGTATCTACAAGTTCACCTGCAGTTGTTGCGGTGACACATATATATATATATATATATATATATATATATATATATATATATATATATATATATATATATATATATATATATAGGTTGAAAAGAACATGTTCCAAAATGGTTTTTAAAACACAGAAAATCCCGATGCAGTTAGCAATCTGAATAGAAATCCATCATCATCCATTGGAAAGCACTTATTAATGTCGGGTCAAAAAATCTATATTAATGACAGCTTGAAAATTATTTCACATAACTCTAATTCAAGGTCGGTTATTGAAGGTGATGGAAGCACTTTGGGGGGTTAATCACAAACATCCTAAACTGTGTGTACAAAAAACAATAGACTTCAATCTTCGCCTACCATGTACTACATGACCTATTTAATTAAATATGATTGGTCATTGGTATGTACTTTTGGTTTAGTTTATTTAACTGAGTAATTTTCATGAACTTTATTTTATTATTGTTAACCATGTCAGTTGTAAAGAGGTTGTAAATAAACTACGAAATGACAATGTCATCTCGCGAAATTTGTCTTCTAAATGCCTTATTCAAATTTATCAAAGGAACTAATTGTTTTAATAGTAAAATACAGAAAAATTGAAACATGATGAGCACGAATTACATGCGCCACACAAAATCTCGTAGTTAGACCAAAGTTAGGGATAATCCACGCTGAGCTTCTTACTCAAAGGTAGCGGAAGAGAATCAGGAGTTACACTGCAATGCTTTCCAGTGACCAAATAAGGTTTTGACGTTATTCAGTCCATTCGGATTGGGGAGCCCATGTACACTATGGGTTTGGAATCTGCGCTTACCACCTCCTGTGGGTAGACACCACAGGATATCATCATGAGCTGACATCTGCTTCAGAACCATTGGAAAACCAGCTGGGAGTACTAGACAGCTGTTTCGTAAGCCTGCTTTGACATTGTTCATCACTACGTACCAACTCACTGGGATTTGCACCCAGGTAGGTAGACTTGTATGTTCATCAGTAATCTGACTGTAGGCGTGAGATGTTTAGATTCTTCCTCCCACTCACAGTGAGTGACACTGACACCCAGCCATCACGTGACAGCAGAGAATAGAACTTATCTGTCGTAGGCTGTGAAGGTGCACTAGCCAGATAACAGCATTTCCGGAGGAGGAGGACAAACGTCTACCCACCGCTTTAGGAGTTCCAGGTGTTTTCATGAAGGCCCTCCTTATAAGTAGATATCTACAATCTGTTGAGGAATATTCTTCTTGGAAGTGTAGTGACAATTCTGACGTCAACAGTAAAGCTAATGAGAAGAAAACACAAGATGAACATGAAAAGACTGGAAATAATTCCATTATGAATAAGATTTTATTTTGATAAATCACACAGTGTTGTACAATAACTTATGAAATGAAACAGATAGGAGAAGAAGCGTTAGTGTTAAACAACTAACTATCCAAAAAAATTCATTAGGAAGATCAGTAGAGGCCAAGAACAAAATAAAAATAATTGTGAAACTAGTGGTAACAACATAAATAAGAGAGAATATAAGTCATCTACCGTTTTACCATACAAGGAGGTGATATCTGAGACCCTGAGTAGGATTCACAATAAAGCAGGAATTAGGGTGGCATTCAAAATATACAAACTTGCTCAGGTAGGACAAGCTCTGTAGCCTAAAGGACCCTGTCGGTGGACCCAATTAAACGAAATAATATAATTTACTAAGTACCTTACAATAACTGTAAGGTCAACCACATAGGTCAAGCTAGTAAGTAGGTCATGGGTAATCAGATTGTCAGAACATAAGAATTTAGTGGCTAAGGTTAGAATGATTGATTTCACGAAGACAGACAAGTAATTTGGAAAACAGCTCAGAGATTGCACTGCATGCATTAACACTCAACCGCACAATAGGGTGGGAGAGGGTTAAAATTCCAAAGAATAATCTGTGTAGGTGGAGAGAGGTTGATTACTGAATCCTGCCAGGTTCACCGAGTCTACACCCAAACACAACACATACAACAGAAATGACTCAATGCAAATACCAGAGATATGCATGGAAGATATTATTACCACCAGTCAGCCAGTCAAATCAGAGGAGGATAATCAATAATCTTAAATTGTATTCTATTTCAGTTCACAAACATCGTAACATTCTAACAAGTTACTTATTATGACTATAAAAACACTCGTCTTATTGCCTATCTGGCTGTATTTGATTGGTAACATTCATATTATTATTATTTCTGAATGTACATTATCCTGTATTGATTTTTAATCAAATATCTAATTATCAGTTTCACTCATGTATATAAATGAAGGAAAAAAGTTGTGTGGGTGACTTGATATGATTATGAGCAGTGATAGTTTGTGCTCGAAACGTGGTCATCAGTTAATATTACTGTATAACAACACTGTGTGATTTATCAAAATAAAATCCTATCTGTAATCGAGTTCTACTCTACCACAGTGCCCAAGTTTTATACTTCTACGTTTGATAGAAATACTGCTACAGTGTATTTGAATCATTTTTAACAATGTCTGTGCACCGTTTCTTTTGTGGGTAATTGGGTTATTGCTACTATAGTTCAGTGTCTGATCTGAGCGCGTTGATTTTCTATATACTTGTGTTTATATATTTCCTCTTTTACTTCTCCTGATTAAGACATCCCTGAGAAAGTCTCCCAGGGAAAATAACACCATATATCACCGCCTTTATCATCAATAAAACTATTGAATACAATAACAAAGATATTCATTATAATAAAGGATTTTGTATTGCTCAATGAATGAAAAACAAAACGATATTACTGTTGCGTTTACTGACGTTTCGCTATTTAATGCTACTGCT